GAACCTATAGCGCCTCACCCCCTAGAGCTGGTACCTGCGACCTACCCTGGGATCCGGATGCCCTGTAAGTTCAGCGTACGTGCCCTAAGCTTAATACACCGATCTACCCTGGTGCCATACCCTGTAGGTTACAGCGTCTCTAGCGTGCCGTAGCCTGTAGCTTAATACCAGCGCCTACCCTGGTCCCTTCCACAAATACACAGAACCTACCCTCGCCTTCAGACAGCGTTCTAGCTCCAAGTCCGTTGGTACAAGTAGCCTACCCTGTGATTGCGCGAGGGGGAAAAGAGAAAGAGAGAGAAAAGGAGGAAGGAGGGGGGCCGTACCAGGCACCACTGCCTAATACACAGAGCTTACCCTGGGATCGTCCCGATCTTACCCATCCCTTTACTACCCCCCTCTTCAGGGGGTTGGGGCAGGAGGGTGCCCCGGGGCTTCAGGTAGGGAGTGTCGAGTACCCCCCACCGAAACCCAGCCCCCGAGACCCCACTAGAACCCCCAAGCCTACCCCCTAAGTCCCTACGCCGACCGTCCGAATCCCACAGTGTGGTGCCCCATAAAGTACCCTATATTCAACCCCTTAACTATACCGATCTGGCTCATCTTCCCCTAAGCCACGCCCCTATCCTCGCATTGTTATCCCTAACTCCATACCCTATATACCGACACCCTACTATCTATAGCCTAAAATCACTTAGGCGAGGACTTTGCCTTTCAAGAGCACCTCTCTTATATACCCACCGACCCTTTTTCTTTATCCAAGTCGGTCACAATGCTTCCCGGCAAATAAATAATTTCCCGACAAATACATTTATATGCATAGGGCTATTGAACCCCCCTCCCCCACTAAAAGGAAGTCGTGATTTGGTGCATATCTAGGTAGTTGTTCAATCCCTTAGGCCTAGATGATTTTCCCACTTTATTTCCTAGAGTAGGAGATGGAACCTCGGCTAGCCTAGCCTTGAGGTAAACCTGCCTCCTACTATAAAATCAGATAAGGGGTGTCAGACAGATTTTCCCTAGCTAGCCTTAGTCACTAGACGGAGCCGCTTTTTACGTAGACCTTCGGAATCTATATGACCACCGGGGCTTAAAAAGTAGTATACGTCCACAATCTAGATTCGGTCACTATTTAAAGCCTATGCGGGCGGACTGATGAGATACCAAACTGTTTAATAAGGGATAACCCTTGGAATTAACATTCGGGAATTTAGTTAATATCCCCACTACAGGGAGGGTCAGAAGCATAAGGTCCAGCTTACTATAGTACAGTGAATAGGGCCTTCCTGGTTATAAGCTAGCTATTAGAACACTCGATATAGATAGGTAACAAGGCGTGCTTATCAGAACCAAGGCCGAAAGTCTCTTGATACGAGCTGCCTACCCTGAGTGGAGGCGCCCCAGGGTAAGCCATATGTATTAAGGAAGGTCAGGGTAGGCTCTAAGTATTAAAGGCTCGATCATGGTAGTGAGATAGTCCAGGGTAGGCCTCAGGTATTAAGGACCTCAACTTCCCTCTCCGGGTAGGCCGAGTGTATTAGGCTCGAAGGGTAG